TTAATAGTTATAATTTAATCAAGTTGTCAGTGTACTCCAAAAGAGTGTCTGTGATCAGTTTTCTTCTGTAATCTATCGACAAACAACTTAATTACATCAAAACTATTATATTAAAATAAATTGTCCTGTTGCTTAACTGATAGTATTGCTATCAGTGTTTTGACTTTTTTTGTTTGTCTGTTTACATTCATGAAATGAGGACTTACTAGTACAGTTTTTGGGTTTGCTGTACTTCTCATAGAATACTAATTCATTGTGTTCACTTCCAGGGAATCTCAGTAAGCTTGGGAAGTACACACTGCATCTGCAGACCATGCTGAATGACAACTCTGCCAGCGAATGGGCTGGAAAAAGACTCCCCAACTACACCCTCAATTTCTCTATTAAAGGTAAAACACACAAACACACTGGCCCTGTTTAAACCTGTGCTGAATTCAGAACCGCATACTACTCTTGTGTTCCTTCCATAGCAAGATGAGATAAAAAATAGTAAGAGTAGTATGCTACTATGTGGTGCCAAGATCCTTAGGTGATCTGAGCGATTACATGAGCTGTTTATACCTGGAAGTATTGTGTGACAGCTGTGTTTTGTGACCACTTGTGAGTTGACATCACTGTTGCTTCACTTCCTGTCCAGCTACTGTCCTATCAAAATAAAAAAGGCAAAACGCCAAAAAAAAAAAAAAAAGTGTGTCCTTCTCCCTGGTACACTTGAAATTGCAAGCACAAACTCAACAATATTCATTTGTGTATATTAGTGTTGTCAAAAATGTCGATATTTCTATTAGGGGTGTAACGATACACGTATTCGTATTGAACCGTTCGGTACGAGGCTTTCGGTTCGGTACGCATTACAAACCGAACGATTCGTTGGAGTAATCCTATTACATTTGGGGGAAAAAAGAGCTGAAAGTGTGTGAAATATACTGTACTCCAGGTTGTGACGGTGTGGTAGTTCGTTAGAGTTTTCCCTCATTTCCTCGCTTTTAAATAGCTTGTAAATGCTTGTGCGCATTTTACTTTCACTTTCGAACTAGCGCCATTTCGGTGTCAATTGATTGAATTGACAACAACAAAACAGTACGACAAACTCACTTACATTAAACATATAGTGTTTAATTTATTAACAAAACGAATACAATTACACCATGCTATAAGCCTAATATAAAATAACAAATAACTTACACAAAGTTTAAATATAAAACACTGAAAATCAGCAAACACTGTGGAACCAAATAAATAAGAAACAAATGTTAAAAAAGCTTCCAAAATTATCTTAGATAAATGGCAAAAGTCAAAAGGCCTTCCAAAGTCTAAAATATTTTTAAGATCATATGATACTAGCTTTAATAAATAAAAAAAAATCAAGGAAATTTGTCTGGTATTTCTTTGTTTTTGCTGTATTGAAAATATACCGAACCGTGACACCCCTGTGTCGTATCGAACTGAACCGGGAATTTTTTGAACCGTTACACCCCTAATTTTTATAAATATCGATACTGAAATTTTTGAATTGATGCATCGCGTTTCTGCAGTATCGATACATCGGTACAATCTGTGCTTTCTCTCTGACACTGTGTTCATTATCCGGTGTTTTCTGTGGCTTATTGTCACTTTAAACATTGAAGTGCAACAACTGGCGCGCTTTTTACTGTGCGTCCATACAGAGACCTGCGTCTCTCGGACAGCGCTCCAGTGCTTAGGGTTGAGTTCTATTTTGCGTGTTCTTGCGCTTGAACGTGTAAATATGTAAAATCATGTCAAAATATCCGTCTTTGCGAGTTTCCTTCTAAACACAGTCAGTTATGTCTTAAGGGAACGTAAACAGCTGAGGAAGAAATCACATGTGTAGTATTATTAGAGCCATTTGGTCTTAAGGCCCCGATATACTCAAAACGAAGTTCTATTTCGTTCTTCGTTTAGGGGCAAAAACGAAGCTCGAAATACGTGAGCAGCGGTATACTGTTATCGAACATCCCGACGCCACCCACTCTGATGAAAGCGACGTTTATACGAATATGGAAATATGTGCTGCGTGCTTTCCTCTCAGTAACAAAATAAACACAACAAATATGGAGAAAACGGCAAGCATTTTTTTCTATAAAAAGCATCTCTTCATAGCAATGTTTGCACGAACGCTGAAGTCACATCACGTGTATTTACATGGCACTTTATTCAATATATAGCTTAAAATCAAGCAGCAGTATTAAACATGAATAACAGTGTCAGTGTCTCATTTCATCAGAAGCAAAACTTAATTTGCTACTATAACTACTATAAATACTTTGCACTGTGACACTGTGAACGGTCATTTTATGGAAAAAAGCTGCTTTGAAATTTGCAACTATTCGTTTAAATAGCTAAATTTTAAAAAATCAACTGTTATAAGAACGAAGCAGTGTTTTTATAGTTAACTAAAACTACAGAAAACATTTTTGATACTAGTAATAAAATACACTGTAAACCGTCCATCTTGATAATTTTGTTAATAGTAATAAAATTTACTGAAATAAAACAGGCTATTTTAAGCTAGTTGCCAAGGCAGCATTTCTAATTTCCATTTAGTTATGAGCAACAATATATAAGTGCAAATGACAAGTCTCGGTTAGCCTAACGCAGTACACGTAGCAAGGTGTGTGTGTGTATATATATATATATATATATATATATACACAAACAAAGAAAAACAAGTAGAATAGAAAGCTAGAGTTTTTTTTTTTTTTTTTTTTTTAAAAAAAAAAAAAAAAAAAAAAAAACTGTATAGACATTTAATAAAAACAAATACCTAATAAAAATGATAAAAACACAGAACAAATTTACTAAAACTAACTACAATTAAAATAGAAATATAAAGACTAATTCAAAATCTGAATAATAACTACAGTAGTGTCTCAGACTTGTTTTAGACACTACTGTAAATCATCTCCTGTCAGATGCCTTGCTAAATTCTCACTTTTTGTCTCCTTTGTTTGCTCCAACAGAAGGTGAAGCGATATCTTTTGTTCTAGGTGTCATTTCCTCTCCTGTCCATTTCGGAGTTCCCTTCAGTATTCATCTAGATTTTAGGGATGAGTTTGATTATCCCACCCAGCCACCCTGTGACATTAAACCCCAGCTGGAATGTAGGTAGGTCAAAGTGGATACACTCAAGCTCTGTAGAAATCTACATACTGTAGAAATGTCCTAACTTTGTCTGACCATGGATTTAAGCCTTTCCACCCTTTCCTGTTGCTGTTCATTGCTTTATACTGTTATTAATCAGTGTTTGATGGGTGATGCATGATGGGTTAGTTTTTCTTAAGCATTGGGACACTATGTGCAAAACAGATGACAAGTCTGAAAACAAAGTCCAAAAACAAACCAACAAAAGTGTTACAAGCTCTTGGTGCATGAAGAAGATCTGTAAAGTTGCCAATCACAGCACACCTCGCTTTTCAGACCGATGAGCTTTGTAAAAATCGACGCGTTTCAGAAAGGCGGGGCATAGAGGAGAAACAATAATGTACAATATGTGGAAAATAATGTGTTTTTTGAACCTTAAACCGCATAAACACATTTCATTACACCAAATACACAAAATAATGTTCTTTTTAGCAACATCATATGACCCCTTTAAAATAAAATAAATAAGTGAGAAAACAGAATTCTTAAAACAAAATAACAATCAGAACACAAAACTGATGTCATTTTCCTTCTCAAGTAAATGCATCTTGATTTAAGAATCTTCAGACATTTGCACTAGAAAACAAGACCAAAATACTGCAGAAGAACATCTGGTGCAGTGTGATCTGAAAGTAATGCAACACTTTTACACTTGCTGATACGAGACATTTAAATTTAGAGACCATATTTTCGTATTGATACATTCAATTTATTTCCTTCAATTTTCATTACTTGTTCCTAAAAAGCTTTACATTTTCCTTCATAAAACCTGCAGAAACAATGTACCTGAATCAATATTGAATTGATTTGAGAGCTTATGAAGATCTTTTAAGTGACTGTCTTTATGTGTGAGTCACTGAATTATTCACTCAACCAGTTCTTTAATAAACAGGAATGGTGCTACTGCATTTTGTTTAGATGTGCAGTGATTAATTCTGTTGTGGTTTTGTTTGTAACCCTTTTACTGGCAGAGAATCATGTGACATTGAAATCATATTGCATAATGTACTCACGTGTGTTAATGTGAGTTTCTGTCTTGGAAATTACATTTTCGTGTGTTTTTCTGATGGTAAAATCTTTCTCATAAGTTCACTAGAGCTGAGTTATGAGGGGATCATATTTGGGACCACTTGTGTCATCAAAAATGTGAGGGCCAAGGGAAAGATCAATCATCAAAACAAGGTTAGCATTGTGTTAATTAATAATAATGTTATCACTTTGGAAATAGTTTCACAATAATCACAGTTGGTCATGATTCTCAAGCATTGAGTTAACCAGTAATAACTGGAGTGTTTTAATTAATCAAAGCATAAACAATAAGAAGATAAGCACAATAAGAATCAATAAGAAGGTATCTCTGTATGTTAATCAAGAGAGAAAGTGTTTTCTGAAATCTGTGGTCAGGAATGTATTTGATATGGTGTATGTGATTGTGTAACCAACATATACTGTATAATGAGAATGATATGAAGGGGCTTTTATGTTTGCATTGACACTGTTAGCACAAAACTTGGATGTGTGTGATATTTTTAACAGATGTACACAGTGAAGGTGCACATCCCCGGGCTGAAGCAGGACAGCCAGTCTCTTCAAATTGTTCTGCAACCTGGTATGACAGAGAACACAGAAACTGCAATAGAAAGAGGAAATGTAAAAGCAGCATGTAAAAACCAGATGACATTTATCTTCCAGGCCCTCCGCACACTCTTGTGGTGTTTCCAGATGGTGATGTGCTCTCTGTTGAGAATCGAACTCCAGCAAACTTCAGAGTTGAGATTCACGATGAGTACCAGAATATCACCACTCATCCTAAACTCAGCGTCCGCTGCCAGGTAGCTCTCATCGAAAAACACACAACACACAGCTTATTTATGCAGCTTTCGGATGATGTATAAATCTCAATTTCGAAAAATTTACACTTAGAACTGGTTTTGTGGTCCAGGGTCACATATGGTGAATGCACAAACATCTACTCAACACTCATATTGACCCGTGTAATTTGGGACATAGAGTTTTGTTTTTATAGAGAGATAATTATACAAAAATATATATGTTAACCTAGGGTTTCCTAAATGAGGGTTCATGAGTGGATGAAAAGTAATTAAATTGAATTTAAAATGAAAATAAATAAATGCGGTTGCACAATTGATTGAAATAAAACTGAAATCGTGATATATCTTAGTGCGATTATCAAATCAAATGCTATCAAATGTAGCGAATCAGCTCATGGGGAAATATGAATAATTAATCATAGCGCAAAAAAATCGCGCGAATATGAACGTGGTTTTGCGCAACTCGTCAGTGAACAACGGCTCTGTGTAGTTAATGCTGCTCAATGTGAAAGCCCGCAGGTGATGGAGATTTACCGCTGATTACAGAACCGTCTTTACTGACAAGATGCGCATTAAATATCGCATGCGATTTATCATGCAGCCCTAATCTGGAAAAAGGGGGGTCGTCTTATATTCGGGCCAATACGGTAGTCTCTAGGGCTGGGTATTAAATTATCTCGATATAATTTTCCTTGATAAAATTACTGCAAAAGTAAGATAAATGTATAATCATTTTTATGCACTGTGCTAATTAGTGATGCACCAAAATTATGGCAACTGAACAGTGATGTTTCATTGATGTTTCAACATAGATAAACTACAAGAGGTAAACATGTCAGCTGCATGGACGCTAGTGCTAGATCAACAATATCGATTTCTCATTTTTAATCAATATTGATATTGATTATTAAATCTCTGTTGATGTGTGAACATCACTAAACTTTATTTGTAGCACCTGCCATCCAATAATTGCAATAAGCTTTGTGCTTTGTTACTTTTAATATGAAATAAAGTCTTGACTTTCTGTAAATTTTAGCATGTAATACGAACAATAAATGTGGTTTTGACACTCTTTAATGTCATGTGACAGATCGCTGTATCCACATCAGTTCTGGATCGACACATGAACCCATCATCTTTTCCTCTTTACTACTAGTTATAGCACGAAATAAACATGAATGAACATGTCATCACTCAATCAGTGTTTCCACCACAGAAAGACGCCAAACAATACAAAAGACGTGCATTTACCTCAGGAAAGCCAGTGTCCATAAACTCAAAAGTCAGCTATAACAAATAACTAGAGAGGAGCATGTTGATAAATACATGCATATTACATATCTATTAAATTTGGCATTATTTATTATTATTGTTATGTTAGTAGTTGACCAGTTGCATGTTTCACCCATTGCATGTTTCATCTCTGCTTGGAAAAAAGCTTATTTAATTTAACTTTTAATCCTATGAAAGACCTTCCATTGAATGGCACAGGAGTACAGTTCACCTTCTGATTGGTAAATGTGTGTTTGTAGTTGCTGGGAGCCCCTGATCTGCCTGTGGATGTTGTGGACTGCAGTAACACCGGCTCTGGACTCCTGCTGACCAAACCACTTCTGCTGAAGACTGTAAACGCTGAGCAGATCCTTACTGCTAAGTTCAACATTCCTGTAAGATTTTAAAAGTTTTTTTTTAAATCTGAGATATTAATAAGTGATCTGTCTTTTCTACTTTAAATTTAAATTTCAGTGTTAGATTTATAGTGATAAACTATTTTGTTGGCCACAATAATGTTTGCCAGCTCTTCATTGTGTCAGTTTCAAAATTATCCAACGTTTGTCTACTATTAAATACTGTTTTTCACATTTTTTGAGAAGTGTGTGTGTGTGTTGATCAGGATAAGGGTTCAATTATTGTTCAGAACTGTTTTTTTTGTTTCCTTTGCTTTCAAAGTGTGTGTATAAAATCTAGATAATCCACATCATGGGTTTGTATAAAGCCACTCAGAGTAAAATTCAGCATATCTATTTTATAAATGAACGATTCTTCTGTTCGTATCTTTATTTTTTATTTTTTTTGGCCTCATGAATGAAATTCTAATGACGTTCCATGCTGTATAACTCAGAGTGAAGATGTTAGTGAATCTTTCATAATAGTAAAGTATATAAACGGTTAAATCTGTTAACTGGTTTAGCTGTTTGACTTGATTTCCTCATGATTAAGTGCATTTTTGCATTTTTGCTCGTAGAACCACAGGACAGTGGCGTGCGTGGAACGTAAGCTGCGCGTCTTGCCCAGTTCACGAATATCCCGTTTGGAGGTCTACAGACAGGAAGAGGGCTCTGAGGATGTCATGGTGCTGCAAAACGCCGAGCGCATTGATTGGACGGCAGGAGACACGCTAGGAAACCTGCGCTTCAGACTGTATGATGAGGGCAATAGACTGGTTTCCCTTCGGCCGAAACTCACCACCAAGATTAAGGTGAGAGTTTGACTGTCTGTGATTCGTTTTCTTTGCATAGTGTGTCATTCAGGTTTATTTTTAGTGACTGAATCTGTTTGCACTGACACACTGTCATACTCAGTTGCCCCAAAAAATGGTCACAACAAAATGAAAGATTTAATGATGCAGATTTTCGCGCAAGTCCTGAAAGACTTCTGATGATGTTTTGGGTCATTTATGCAGAAATATAGAACATTCTAAAGGGTTCACAAACTTTCAAGCTGCACTGTATTTCGTGCACAGTATGGAAATAATTTGTGTATTTGTGTGTTTCTTGTAGGTGAATTGGACAGCAGATATAAACGCAGAAGAGCTTTCTCAGGGAAAACTGCCAGCTTTAAGTGTCCCGTCTCAAGCACAGAGAGAGCATTTCTACCTTGTGTCTTTCCACGACCAGCACACGGTCAACTTTTCCTTCATCATTGTGTAAGTTACACAGATCATGAGTATGTCTGTCTTCCGTTATATGCCTAAACAAAAGCATATCCCTGTTTGTTTGTGTGTCTGTAAAGGCCTCGTCCAGATGAGCCTGAGCGCTTGCGGGTCAACCTCAGCGAGTCGACTGTGAAAATGGGAGAAATTCTGTCAGGAAACATACGTAAGTACCATCTTTAGGTACGTCATAATCAATGTTCCCTCTAAGCACGCGCACTTCTTACGCCGCGGTCACTCAGAAGAAATAATATGCTGCGCCCAGGACAGACGCAAAAATGAGCTGGGAAAGCCATTTGATTGAATTCTAGTGTAAACGTGAAATAATTGCAATGCTCGGACCAACCGCTATAGAGTTAGAACCGGTGAATGCGGTTCACAGGTTTCATAGAAAGAGAATGGTGTGTGCCAAATCAGATTGGCACAGAACGGTAACAAAACATTTACAGTTACACACAGGTGTAGTAGTATGTAAACTCTACTGCATGCGTATATATATATATATAATTTAATGTAATATAGTAAAGAATTTAACTGTTCTGCGTGAGATTTATTTAAATTATTATAAAAAAAAAATAGAATTTCTTGGTAACACAGCACTGTAAAAATGTTTTCTCAGGTAACCTAAAATGTGTATAATTTAGTTACATCAAGGGTCAAATCAAATATAAATTGCACATTAAAGTGAAAAGCTTTGCTCAGCAAGAAAAACAATTAGAGGGAATATTGGTCATAACTGGGTTTGACTTCAAATCAGCGAGTCGTGATGTGATTACAAAATTCCCACTTTTCTTTATATGTAATTTCATTGTGTGATTTCTGTTGAAACTAATTGTGTCGCTTCACAGACGCTCCATTTGTAGATCACTCACCAGTTTTGTGTTAGTAAAGAATTCATTGTTAAGGTCATTGCACACTGAGTCCGAACATTTTGTCCGAAATTTTCGCACATTAAAAAATAAATACAACCTCACATTATGTCAATCACGTTTACACACTGCCTCCGAAATTTTCGTCCGTCATAAAAAAAATTTGGATCGGGTTCGTTGCAAGCATTTTGAGAGTTGTTTTGACCGTTCAGAGCCACCGTACAAGCGAACGCTAAAATCCAGAATGGTGATTGTCAAGTTCATCCACTTCGTGATGACTTCGATTCAAAATCATCCTCACTGCTTGAAGACTCAATTTAGTGCTGTTTTGCGAATTTTTTCGCAACTGATTAATTAATACGCATCGGACTCAGTGTGCAAGGTTTCTGTGCGTAACTAATTTTTAGGATTTCGAATACGAAAAAACGCATACGAAAATTTCGGACTCAGTGTGCAGAGACCTTTAAACTTGTATTTCTCTTTCAGATGTAGAAGTTGTTGATCAGTACGGGAATAAAACAGACTGTCTGAACGCTGAAATTGTGAAGACTATGAGTGTGTCTGCTGATGGTCTGGATAAATCAGCTCTGGCCATTGAATGGCAGGTACTGTATACACAACCGCAGACACAAACAGATGAGCAGTTTTTGATAGGGATGCGCTGATCCGATACTCATGTCGGTATCGGCTCCGATACTGCCGTTCTTTGTCGGATCGGGTATCGGTCAGACAAGACTGATCCAAATCTGATATTCTGTTTACTTCTCTTCTAAACATTCATTCATGGATTTGCGCTACGCCACTGTCTTCACACACAGACGAAACTTCAATTCAATTCAAATTTATTTGTAAAGCGCTTTTCACAATTCACATTGTTTCAAAGCAGCTTTACAGAAAATGCATGTGTGATCACAAGTGAATGTGTCCAAGTAATGTTAATTTCTTTACTTGGAGCATAAAGGCAGATAGAAAAGAATTAGCGTAGCTGCTGTTCATAATGTTTCAAGCTAAAAACTGTGACTTTTATCTGATCTAACTGGGAACAAGGGTGAGATTGAAATTCATTATGCAAATGCTTGGCTGAAGAGATGTGTCTTTAATCTAGATTTAAACAGAGCGAGTGTGTTTGAGCCCCGGACATTATCAGGAAGACTATTCCAGAGTTTGGGAGCCAGATGAGAAAATGATCTCCCTCCTTTAGTGGACTTAGATATCCTAGGTACTTCTAAAAGTCCAGAGTTTCGTGACCTTGAAAAGAGCGTGATTGATTGTAGGGCATAAGAAGATCCGTTAAATATACAGGAGTTAAACCATTTAGTGCCTTATAGGTCAATAGCAATATTTTGAAACCCATACGGAACTTAATAGGTAACCAGTGTAGAGATGATAAAATTGGGGTAATACGATCATATTTGTTTGACCTGATAAGAACTCTAGCAGCTGCATTTTGGACTAACTGTAGCTTGTTAATTAAAGATGCAGGACACCCAGCTAGCAGTGCATTACAGTAATCTAGTCGAAACTAGAGAAGTGTGACATAATAAACCTCTGTAAATAAATACAATTTAAATTCACATCGCTCACACTTTAATGCCATTTGAATGGAACATATACACTCCCTTCCAACTGGAATCATAGCGGAATGTCCACTTCGCAGGGCACTTACGATCGAATAGAACAAACGTCTGAAATGATTAGAGAAACATACAAAATGTGCAGAGCGCAAGGACTGGAATTGAGAACCACTGACGTCTGTGCGTCTCTCTCTACAAACAATGAAACTGTGTTTGGTTACTTCAAAAACAACAATTTTACCTCCTTGTTGCTGAGAAATGTATTGTAGCTATCAAGTATTTAAAGGGGTGGTTGACTGGGTTTTTTCTAGGCTTGATTGATTAGAAGACAGAATCGCGATTCATATATGAACAGATTTTTACGTGCACCTCTAGTTTTCTCGTCCTCTTCTCTAGCAGCGCAGCATGGCCTCGCCCCCTTTGCTGCGTGTTCCCGGGGGCGGGGTTTATCTGGGTTCGTGACGTAACGAACCTGGTAATAAGCTCGTTGTAGTCCCTACCAGTCGTTTTTGTAGGCATTAAACTGCCAGAATTTTAAAAGACGATATCTCCGTTTGCATTGAACTTTCAGCGCTGCAACTTTGCAGATATTGTTTATGCTCCAACAGCAACATTACACACTAACTAACGTTAAAAAAGTGAAATCGCAATCAACCACCCCTTTAAGCTATTTTATTGATAGAAGTCACAGGGCAGCGTTGACGACAAGTTTCTGTGCTCCTGAATGTTTCTGTGCGTGCGCAGCGCGATCTGCGATTTCTGTGTGTGTGCACTAATATAGAACGGTGATTAAACTGACTTGGAACTACCTGCGCATTATACGGTTTTAATGCACAGCTTCCAGCCAGTCAGGATCGAGTTTTCAGACAGAACATGGTATAAATCTATTTACACAACAGTTCTTTCTGGTTCTCGAGTCTGATTGGCTGATAGGTCTTTAAACCAATGAGATTCACCTCCATGGGAACAGTTTCGCCGTTTGCATCACTCGTATTTCTCACAGCGAGCATCATGGCCGACGACCAAATCCACTATAATTTTATAAATGGTACAGTTTTTGTCACGGAATGTAGTTTTAAGAGAATTTACTTGTTCAGACTTCAAATATGCGGTTTGTTAATAAAGATAACGTCTATTTGAAAATTTGCTTCGGCGTTTTCGGAGATGTGAGCTCCAGAGCATCAGCAGCCTCACCTTGGCCAGATCTTCTGGAATTTGCCGCTGACTCTAATGTCTCTATAGTGGCTAAACATGAGTCTTTGGTCTCGTTAATCTATTATTTGTTCATTCTGTGCACTGGATGGGCATAAGCGCTCTGTGCTGCTCAGTATTGGAGCTTTTCATATTATAATACTTGTTCTGTCCTATCTATCATGTTGTTGCCTCCTTAAAAAGCAGATTTTTTTTAGTCTTTTTTTTTCATTTGTTATTTTTCTTTATAAAATGGAGAGTTCCGGTCCTTGATTCTGTTTGGTTGAGCCACGTTCGAAGCTGTTGTAAATTACTCTACAAACATAAACCACTTTATTGCAACCGCAACTGTTTCTGAGGAACTACATTGTTTGGTGGAAGAATACTGTTTTTATTTATATCATTACACTTTATTTGCTCTGTTTTACTTTGTGAAACCTTACTACATATATGGAATAACCGTTTTATAAAAGCAATAAGCCCCCTGAAGCCGTGGTTTACACTGAATTTATAACAGCTAACTAATAACAGCTTCGTGTCGTGCCTAACAACGCCCCTTAGCTGTTATAAATTCACTGTAAACCACGGCTTCTTGGGGCTTATTGCTTTATTATAATGAAGTAGTCTGTATTTAGTAGATTGTTAAGGAGTGATTATCAGTTCCACACACAAAGGTATAGAAATTCTACACTGATTTAAAAGAAAAAAACTGCTTACAATATTAATTATTTTTGTTTCCAAGAAATGCCTTATAATGTATGGGCAGTAGTGTCCAGTAAGCCTTAGTTATGTATGTGTGTGCTACCGGTGAGATGGAGGAGCAGACTCTGTGACTATATCAGTACACAGAAGTATATGCGTTTATGTGTGTGCATCCAAGGCCACGAAGAGCTGTGGTTTTGCTGCAAGAACTTTAAAAGGACTTCTTGGTTGAGTTTACTGGAGTTCAAGGACATGAGGAGGCGATGCTTGCACCTGGGAGGATCCTGGAAGTTTTAGGGAAATTGTAGCTTATGCCAAGAAGATGACCTTACCTCTGTGATAAACAATAGGAGTATTCAAGTCTGACAAGTGCATTTCTGTTTCGGATATTCATATCATCATTCCCCCCGACTTCTGGAAGGCCGCAGCTGAGGATGAGAAACGCACAGCTGAAGACAAGAAGCACACAGCTGACCATTGTCTACCGTTGACTACCGATCTCATTTGGAGGTCTCCAGGCTGCAGCTATACACTTCTCGGGTTTGTTACGCAGATCTGGCAACCCTGTCATTGAGATCGGAGATCGTGCATTCAGGAGCACAGAAACTTGTTCTCATCGCTGCTCCGGGACTTTTATCAATTAAAATAGCTTCGATGCTGAATCGCTACATTATTATTCTCAGCAACAAGGAGGTAAAATCGATGTTTTTGAAGTAACTAAACTCACCGCTGCATTGTTTGTGGAGAGAGACGTGCAGATGCAGGTAACTTACACACGCAACTGTCATCTCTCTCTCTCTCTCGATTGATAATTAATTTGGTAACACTTTATTTTAATGTGTAGGCCTAGAACAGGCTATTTAATCACTGTGTCTGATTTGAAGTGGGAAGAATGGTAGAAATCGTAACAGACTGGTCATTTTTACGCCAAATATTGTGCTGCAAGCATCATTAACAGCTTTACCTTGTCAGTGCTGGCAAATGAGCATGGTATAAGCGGGATAAATTAAACGATTTTGAATTATTCCTTACTTACATTTTTGTTTATTTTAAAAATAAATGTAACCATTTGAAAGAAATTTTATTGATTGAAAAAACTGCCTACCAAGGCTTGATTTACAGTGTTTTAAGACTTTGAATAGGAACATATCACTGAGAAGTCTTCTGACCAAGGTGTAAGTAATTTAAAATGCTTATAATTTAGGCCAGACTCGACTTACTTTACTTAACATGAGAATAATAAATAATAAGGTTAAAGGTGTTACGATGAAAGTACACGGAGCAAAACAATATTTTACTACCACTGAATTGGATTATAAATTTGTTATTAAATCATAAATCTAGAAAGAAAAAGTAAAACGGACAACACAGAATTTTCAGATAAAATATTTAATAGGGCCTTTTTATTGTAATGTAGTGTTAACTGAGGGGTGTTACAGAGTATTTGTTAAATATAGCTAACAAAATATATATTGTGTGTTTGATTGGTCCAGACGCTACAGTAAACATCTTAAATTATGAAATTGTTTTAAGGTTTATGAATTCAGTTAAATAGACATGGGTTTTGGATTATTAAAATTAAATTAAATAATAAAAACAGAATTGAGAACAATTAAAATGGAAAACAGGGAATTTGGGAAAAATAAAAGAAAATTGGGGGGAAAAAACACATTTCATAGTTCCCTAAAAATTTTATTTTTTGTTAATTTATTTAATAAATTGTTTAATAGTATAAGTTTTGTGATGTCAATTAATTAGACATGTTTTTTAATTACTAAAATGTAATCCAAATGGAATCTAGAAAAAATTTAAACTGAAAACAGTACTGATTTAACTCTTTCCCCGCCAGCATTTTTCATTTATGAAAAATATCATTATGAAATATCTTATCGTAGGTTTCATAAAAAAATCATTATTTTGCGCAAAAAGGTGAGAAAATCACATTTTTATCAAAAACTACATCTGGATAATATTCAGTACGATTATCAAAGCATAAATCCAGTAAATCGCTTCCAACACAAGCTTGCACAGACATATACCACTTCCTGGATCAACATTTTACACCGTAACATTATGCAGTTTTCATTTATATGCTGTCTATTGCTGATGATCGCATTATTTTTCATATGCATCTGTTTACATAAGAGATCGCTAGTTTCTCCGTCCTGTACAAGTGTGTTTTTGTTCGGGAGGTTTTGTACTCGTTCAGAAGATGCGTAATAGCGCCCCCTAGTGTATAACAGTGAAAACACGAAAAGCCGTAAAAACTCGTCTTTGGCGGGGAAGCGTTTTCTTGTAAAAGAGGAGATAACTCGTCAAATCGCGGGGAAAGAGTTAATAGGGCCCTGCCAATAGTGTTTATCTTGTAGTAAAAAAAAAAAGGGGGTATAAATTGCAAGGTGTGTACACCTTCAAACCACACAGTGTGTGTATTTATATGTATGGCTTTTCACAGGCCAGTAGTGGACTGTTGTCTGTATGCGGGGTCCGCTTCGTGGGAGGATCTCTTGGCCCGAGGGAGTTGTGCTTTAAGTATCAAGACATGAAGGAGTTTGTGCGAATCGAAGTCACTGCGGGACCACCGGTACAGATAAAGCTACTGAAGGAGCCGGAGATGGTATGCCATACATTCACAACCCGAGCACTGAGCTTCATGGTGGGTGAGAAGAGTTTGACTAAAGCTGGTCTCTTTAGCCTCTCCAGGTCGTGAATGGCCAGGGCTTGGACGCTCCGCTGGTCGTGCTGCTGTGTGACGAATGGGGAAATCCTTCACCAGACCAGCAGATTGCAATCGTGATGAAGACTCTGTCGCCACAGTTGAAGGTACATTTGAGGGAGGAGAGGTCTGTGGATTTATAATGGCAAAAAAAAGACTGCTTAAAGTACTTTTTAGAAAAAACTTACACTATGCAACATAAGTGAGAACAACCACGTGCAATGTCACTAAAATGTCATAAGATTCGAAATTTGATCGCTTCTCAATAATCAAGTTATTACAAAGTTGACAAGTAGAGTGTTTAACTATTATGATCGATCAAAAACAAATAATTGCATGAAAATGAAACATATTTCTTAGTTGTGCTCGTCTGCATCATGGCTTCACATGGGAAAAAGATTGCAATTGGAATTTAAAATTCCAAAAAACTGAGTTCCTATTGTGTGTTCTGTAAATCTAAACATTTTTTTTTTTTTGTAATTTTACTTAAGAACTAATATCCTACTGTTCAACTGAAGTATTGCTATTATTAATCGTTTTTTGTTTTTCTCTGTTAGATAAAGTCCTCGGTATCATCTCTGTCTGTAGATTCAGAAGGAAAAGCTTACTTCATATTAAAAGCTATAAGTGGTCCAAAGTAAGTACAGACTTAACCCTTTAAAGCCTACTGTATTATCATTGATACAATTTCTAAGGCCTCTAAATGGTGCAGCTGATAAACCTGTTGCACACAATCTACTGTCATGCCTTCTGTCGTCTGATTGATGCTTTTATAAAGTAAGTCCTTTTAGTATAATTGTACAAATGTCCACTTTCAGCCCGTGCTTCACGTGTTTTTTTTGTGTGATGTCTTTACTGATTTTTATTAGGGATGCACTGAAATTTCGGGCCAACGAAAACTATCGGCCAAAAAAAAAAGGCATTTTCGGTTTTTGGCCGAAAGAGAAAAATGTCCGAAAATATATGGCAAAGCAAAGTCCGCTCAAATAACGCGCCAACAGGAAATTTCTATGTAGTATACTTGTTCCTGTTTGCAGTAGAGCTGCTGTAGCATGGCAACGCTGGTAAAATGATGCTCCCCTCTCGTGACGCAATGCTCTGCTCATATGCTCTGATAATAATAGCTTTTATTAGCATTTAGAATTAATAATACATTATTTGGATAACTAGATAAAAAAGTTTGTCAAGACAAACTTTAGGTTGGCTTGAGAAAGCCTAGCTTGAAAGTTTAAAGCAGTTGTAAAAGCCTGAAGTTTGAAAATTTAGATAGATTAGATAGATGTTGATAACATGATTCTAGCATGATTAGCCTGTTACTAGCATATTGCTGGCATGATTATCAAGTTACTAGCATGTCGCTTACATGTTTGTAGCATGTTGTTAGCAATATTAGCATATGATTAGCATGTTGCTAGCATGACTAGCATGTCATTAGCATGATTAGCAAGTGACTAGCATGTTGCTAGCATGATTTGCAAATTACTAGCATGTTTCTAGCATGGTTAGCATGCTTCTAGCATGTTGCTAACATGATTAGCAAGTGACTAGCATGTCGCTAGCATGATTAACAAGTTACTAGCATGTCGCTAGCATATGTAAGTCAAAGTAAAAAAAAGTTATATCTGATTATGTTGCATAGAATTGAATGAAAATAATATATTGATATGTATTATTAATATATTTTCTGTCCAATTTTATTGTTTGACTTTCAATTAAAGTGTGGTTATTTTATTGTCTTGTATTTTTTAAATTCAGTATCTTTAAAATTATTAAGTTATTCTAACAAAGTTTATTTAATATTATTTAACAAAATAATAAAAAACCATTAAAAATCATTTTCGTTTTTTCAGCCAAGTGCATCCAGAATTTCCGGCCCAGAATTTTCATTTTGGTGCATCCCTAATTTTGATAAAGTAAATAACTTTGATATTGTTATTAATATTTCAAGATGAACACTTACTGGACTGAAACAACTTAGGTTTACTTAATTATCAAGACATCATTTTTAGAAAAATCACGTTCAAATGTGAGTATCAAATACGATCATCAGGCTTTTGAGGAACGTTTATTAGTTCATCTCCTTTAATCATCATTGTATTGCATTGCATTATATATTTTGAAACTACAGAGCTTTGATCATAAAACTAAGCAAATATGATAACAGGTCTTACTAAGACATATTATTTGGAGATATGACAACTGATATTTATATAATTTTATGTAAGTAGTCTGTTATACTGTTATAAAGATCTTATTGGTTTACATCACAAGCTTTCAGGATTTCATCTTACGTTTTAGCAATAAATATCAGCATCTGCACCAAATTGCACATTTGTGACCCTGGACCCCAAAACCAGTCATTAGGGTCAATTTTTTGAAATTGAGATTTATGCATAATCTGAAAGCTGAATAAATAAGCTTTCTGTTGATGTATGGTTTGTATGATAGGACAATATTTGGCCGAGATGCAACTGTTTGAAAATCTGGAATCTGAGGGTGCAAATAAATCTAAATATTGAGAAAATCATCTTTAAAGTTGTTCAAATGAAGTTCTTAGCAATGCATATTACTAATCAAAAATTACGTTTTGATATATTTACGGTAGGAAATTTACAAAATGTCTTCATGGAACATGATCTTTACTTAATATCCTAATGATTTTTGGCATAAAAGAAAAATCAATAATTTTGACCCATACAATGTATTGTTGGCTATTGCTACAAATATCCCCCAGCGACTTAAGACTGCTTTTGTGCTCCAGGGTCACATTTTTTGCTCAGTTTCAACCTCTGAGTAAAAGGTGTTTTTTTCCCCCCTGCCATATTCTCACTATATCAATACATGAGCCATAACAGCCTGATGTATGAGATATGATTCTTAACAAAAACACTCTGTCTTTCATTATCTGTCTCTTTCTCTCAATTTCTCTTTCTTTTGTAGAGGGGAGCATCAGTTGGAGTTTCGGGGGTCTTTTAGCAGGAACGGGATTCCTGGGCCTGTAGTAAAACTAAATGTGATTCCTGATCCCAATAAACCCGTTGAACTCTCTATCGAATATGACAGCGCTGCCACCTTATGTGCAGGGGACATTTTCCCAGGTGTGTGTGGAAGCATAAAAGCATAGTACAAGCCTATATCATATTGTAATATTAGTATAGAATAGAGTGCATATCATATTTTCTGGTGTCTGTAGTGTTTACTGTGGTAGTGATGTCTGAGGAAGGCACGCCGGTGAGAACCGTTTGCCCGGCAAACCTCTCGATGCTGCTGTGGAAGGGTACGGCATCAGGCTCATATCCACCCTCTACCGTGAGTCACCCGATCTGCTCTTTATTGTGACACATTACTCAAACCACAAGAGTGAGTCTCTCAAAATCTGTCGAGATTAATTTCTGAGCCCATGAACCAGGAACTAATATAATACAAAAAATATATAATACTAACTCCACTGAAGTAGTAGCAATAAAAGTATGCACCTTATTTACTCCCCCCTAAGTTGCTAAATATCAAAATATTATTTTATTATTTAGATCACATTTGTGTAAACTTCTCAAGTTCATCATCATTTGTATAAGCAAATAATCAGAAAACCTTTGGAACTTCACTGCAGTAAAAACTTCAATTCTGTAAGTTGAAACAGCATGAGAATATGATGCATTTGTGCCGGATTGCTGCCATAATCCGTGCGCGCGTGCGTGTGTGTGTATATATATATATATATATATATATGTGTGTGTGTGTGTATATGTGTGTGTGTTTATATAACGAAGTTTTGAACCACTCAGATTAAGGAAACCATTTTTAAAACAAAAATAAAATCAGTCAAAAATGGCCAAAAAGCTTGGTGCCGGGGGAAGGGGAAAAAATGCTGAGCGCACCTTAAAAGAGCATGAAACCTATATTTAGAACCATTACAATCAAAATAAAATATTTTCCACATTACTATGTAGCAAATTCATATATAATGTACTTATTACATTATGTTGTAAAAAAATAAATAAATAAAGCAACAAGTATTTTTGGTCAAACAAATTGCAGTTTTGATAAGACTTGAATTATATGGCAGTTGTGATATGGTGTAGAAGGAGAATACATCATGTGAAACAGGATTTTGAAGCATGTTTTGTGTTTTAACTTAGGCCTCGACTCTGAAGTGTAGTAAACGCAAACACACAGAGAAGGACGACTGCTTCTGCTTCAGGTAATAGAGACAATAGAGCAAAATACCTCTGAAATAAAAACATCAAAGTATTTTATATCTTTCATTTCTTAAAAACTGTAAAGCAGTTTTGAATTTGAAAAGCCTTTGTCTGCCAATGCTGCTGATTCTCTCAGAAATGTCTTGCATTTCCGCTGTTTAAACATGAGCCATAGAAAAATCAAGGAATTATATATATATATATATATATACTGTATATATTAGATTTGTTATTATATATAATTCCTTGATTTATTATTTTAAATATATTTATTTATTTTGAATAAATGTATTAATAAATATTAATAAACGTATTAATAAATGTATTATTTTTAATACAAATTTATTATTTTGGGACGTTATTTTTGGTTTTGACCCATGTGTTTTTGTTTCAATCGAATGCGGATGTCTTTTTCAGGGATAAGCAGATTCCAGAGCTTGCAGGGCAGTATGTTGTCCAGTTTGTTTTGGCTTTGGACAAAACCAAACATCTGTGGAGCAAGCAGGTGAAAACACACACAAAATTATTTTGTCCAATTTATTGTATGTGGTGCTTTTATTTCCTGTTGCTTACTTTAGGATTCATATTTGTGTTTCCGTTTTAGATTCTACTAAATGTCGTTCCCAATAAAGCTGTGAAATTAGCCCCCGAGACTCCACCTTTAACTCCTGTTGTGTCCAATAGTAACATTCGGGCCAATCGCACACTGCTAGACAGCTTGAATCTGAAGATCATGGTGAGTTTCAGTCGCTGCTAGAGATGGAGATGATGGTTGCATGTTTACAGTCAACAGAGTTAACTTTGGGCTTCATGCGGTGCTTAACACCACCTGTATCTTTTTTTTTTTATATCTGCTGATTTATTTGCAGCATTCATGCAATGTATTTCTGCACAATGCACTTTTTTCCTGTAATTTCTGAATTCTCAATAACATTTAGATCAAATACTTTGTTTCTTACTTTGCAGGACCAATACAGTAACGCTGCTGGTGAGGGTTTAGATGGAAAAGTGATTGTTACAGTTAAAGGCACAGGAGATGTGGTGCTTCCTTTGTTTGAGAATGGAGAAACAAGTGTGTCATACAGCCTCACTAACGGGCAGACTCTCATTACTGTGAGTGTTTGCTTTCTTTTGTTTGTGTCAGTGTTATTTTAGTATTATTCATATACTATTATAGGATTTAGTTATATTTTGAATTAGCTTTTATATTTTATTATTTAGATTTTTACCTTAATTTTAAATATGGTAATTTTATGTGCTTTTGTTTTTTTTTATTAGTTTTCTTTTCTAAAAATAAAGCTAAATAAAAAAAATAATATAAATATTTTTAAAAAGAAAAATGACAAGCATATAAAATTACTAAAACTACAACTACATAAAATAAATTAAAGCTAAATAGAAATATTTTATTCAAATAATGAAAATTATATTTAGTAGTTTTAGTTAACAGTAACAACACTGTTATTGTTGTCAATGTTGATAAATTCAACTTTAGTTCAGCTTCCTTGGGTAATTTGAGGAAATATAAATAAAATATGGTTTAAAACACTGATTTGTTAAAAAAAAACGTTCATATTAAATTTATTATTGTGATAATTTGTTTATAATATTATGCACGATATTATCGGAATGTAAGCATATAAAATTACTAAAACTACAACTAAATAAAATAAATTAAAGCTAAATAGAAATATTTTATTCAAATAATGAAAATTATATTTAGTAGTTTTAGTTAACAGTAACAACACTGTTATTGTTGTCAATGTTGATAAATTCAACTTTAGTTCAGCTTCCTTGGGTAATTTGAGGAAATATAAATAAAATATGGTTTAAAACATTGATTTGTTAAAAAAAACGTTCATATTAAATGTATTATTGTGATAATTTGTTTATAATATTATGCACGATATTATCGGAACGTTATCGAAATCGGCCGATAATGGCTTAAAATGCAAATATCGGCATCGAATGAAAAATGATGCCGATATGCCTTACCGATAAGATGAGTGACTCACATGTGCTCAGGGTGTGATAGCGATAAGATCACGCCAGCTGTGTGCGCATTTTTGAAGCAAACATAATGCCCATCTAGGTATAGCTTACATGAATAAAAATCACAAACAAGACACTTGTAAATTAAATAATTGATATATATATATATACAGATTTATTCATGTGTAATATGTTTTTTCTTTTAAACGGATTATGAAAACTTAAATACAAGGAGCTCTAAAAGATTTTCAGAATTTGTACAACTCTTTTGCTATAGACAATCTACAAATGTTAAATATTCAAATAAAATGTTAAGGAATGCTTTATAGTTATTTTCAAAGCTTTCAGTGTCCTCTCATTATAAAAGAACCTTATTGTTTATTTAATTCTCAAAATGAAGTTTTTGTTAAAAACTAACCAAACTGAAAAATAATTTGTTTATAATCTCTGTCCATGAGAGACTTGTTGTTTCCAAACAAAAGAAAACATATCGGTATTGGCCAAAATGAGTTGAAAAATATCGGATATCGGCAAAATCCAATATCATGCATCTGTAAATATTATAATTTTTACAACAACAGGACAGAGAAACTCTTAATTTTTATTTTGCATGTTATAGCTCACATACTGAAGTTATAGACCCCTTTTTTCAATTATGTGCGGCATTCAGCAGTTGCACATACACACAAATGTAAGCTTTTCAGATGTATACACATGTATACAGAATACACAACTGCAGAGAAACACGGTTCCAGTTTCAGAGAGATTTGTGCAAGTTAACTGAAAAAAAAAATGACAAAATGGACTGGTACAAAAAAAAGGTGTCATAAACAGTAGAGCATTGCACTAGCAGTCAATGAGTTAAAAATGCATGAAGATACAAAAAGCTTAAAATATAAAAAAAAGAAACTCTTAATTTTTATTTTGCATGTTATAGCTCACATACTGAAGTTATAGACCCCTTTTTTCAATTATGTGCGGCATTCAGCAGTTGCACATACACACAAATGTAAGCTTTTCAGATGTATACACATGTATACAGAATACACAACTGCAGAGAAACACGGTTCCAGTTTCAGAGAGATTTGTGCAAGTTAACTGAAAAAAAAAATGACAAAATGGACTGGTACAAAAAAAAGGTGTCATAAACAGTAGAGCATTGCACTAGCAGTCAATGAGTTAAAAATGCATGAAGATACAAAAAGCTTAAAATATAAAAAAAATGCATGAAGATAAAACCATCTTTCAAATGCATAAATATGTAAAATTCTTTCTTTTTTTTTATGCATGCTCTTTCTATGGGTTCACCAAAACTGCATTCAGGAACTCCAGTTTAAATGAAGAACTTGTTATTGTGGGTAAATGGGAGTTATTGTTTGTGTCCCGTAGGATTTGGCACTTTTGGAGAACAGTCCCGGTGTAGATGGAGCCGAGTACATCCTTCAGTTCAATCCTGAGATTCGGCAGACTAGTGTTACCATCGCTGCATACAGCCTGCCTTTCAGATTCTGCAACGGTTAGTAGGCAGACACACACAAACCAATATCAGTTACTTATTGACTGTCACAGTTAACCAATCAAATTCAGTCCATATTATAATAAAATTAGAATAAAATCTATACTAAATAAGATAAGAAAGCAACTAAATCCATGTCAAAATCAAATGCAGTGTATCATATGTGAAAAGCAATATTTGTTTAATATGTAGTGGAATTATCACAGTTCTATATAGAAAGTAGAAAATATAAGTCTATCCAGCTTTATTTGCATACATACAGTATACGCACATAAAGTGATATGTGCTATATAGCAAATCTAAACTGCTTGATTGTTTATATCATGGCAAAACGTCAACTGTTTTATCATCCAGCTCTAATCTGCTAAATGCGACTATAAGTCATGAAGATATTAAGATGTTATAAACAAACAGTGCATATTGTGGAAAGCGCTATACAAATAAAGTGTAAGACTTGACTTGATTTGAATTTTGGACCAGTGAGATTTCACTGTGTGGCATGCATTATATCGTGAAGTCCAGTGATTGTATTTTCAAGTTGGGCACCTATGAATGTCACTATAGGATCATAATTTTGCGAAACTACAGCAAAGGAAATGTTCACACAAAAATTATCATTTGCTGAAAATGTGCTCACCCTCAGTCCATCCAAGATGTAGATGAGTTTGTTTCTTCATCAGATTTGTAGAAATGTAGCTATAAGGTTATTGCACATACTGTACTTTAATTGCACAATGGGAGAACATTAACTGTTCATGTGGTAGATTGCCTGGGGAAAGAAACTAACTCACGAGAATGAACGAGTGAAACTCCCGCGGCGAATAGAACGGCTTACAGTTAATGAAAAGCGCTTCTAGTTCGGAACAGCACATCTTCTTTAACGCAGTTTGTTTCTTCATCAGATTTGGAGAAATGTAGCATTGCATCAGTTGCTCACCAGTGGATCCTCTGCAGTGAATGGGTGCCGTCAGAATGAGAGTGCAAACAGCGGAAACATCACAATAATCCACAAGTAATCCACACCACTCCAGTCCATCAGTTAACATCTTGTGAAGAGAAAAGCTGTGTGTTTGTAAGAAACAAATCCATCATTAAGATATTTTAACTTGAAACCAAATGCGAGTCTATCCATAATATTGCTTTCTCCAGTGAAAAAGTCATCTGGTCTGAATCAGCAGAGAAATGTGCACAGATCAAGCACTGTTTAATAGCCAAAAAAGCTCTAAAAAAATATGTGGGTGGATTTTGATGTGAGAGACAACAGGAGATGAACTATTTCACTGCAGGAAGTGTTATTATGGATTATGGGTATTTTGGATAGAAGCAATGGTTTAAAATTAAAACGCCTTGATGGATTTATTTCTCACAAACATGCAGCTTTTCGCTTCACAAGACGTTAACTGATGGACTGGAGTGGTGTGGATTATTGTGATGTTTTTATCAGCTGTTTGGACTCTCATTCTGACGGCACCCATTCACTGCAGAGCATCCAGTGCTGAGCAAGTGATGCAATGCTACATTTCTCCAAATCTGATGAAGAAACAAACTACATCTTTGACGGACTGTAGAATTTCGTTTTTGGGTGACTATTCCTTTAAACGCTTACTAAATACTAAGTGTCTTAATTTGTCAAACTAATATGATATTTATTGTTATTTAGGGAGTGTAATGGGGGTGTACAGCAATCATTTTTTTAATCATATTTTCATATTTTTTGATATTTTGATCTCTTTCAGATGCAGAACATCAGAAAGTCATTGTGACTCTCAGTAAGAAGAAAGATCGCCTTTCCCAAACCGTTTTGATGTACCGGGAAGTCTTTGAAACCAGTAAACAACTGAAATCTGAACTTGAATGTAGGCACTGCGTATTTTATTTTAGTTAGTTAAATGTGTGTTTATTTGTTATTCATTTATTTTTGCTCAAGATCATGTCTGACTTATATTTGCTTGTGTCTACAGGTCAGCTGCAAGATGCGACTCACAAACTAAATGAGTTCAAAGCAGAGCTCCAAAAAAGTGGTTTCAACATCTCCGAACTAACCATGGTGAGTCTATTGCTGTTTGCTCTTTGTAGAAGCATGCATTTAATTTCAGCAATCACATATGTTTTTGTCTCTGTTTGTGTATCTGTCCAGGTATCAGCAATAGACAAAGTTATAAATGGCAAGAAAGCAATTTTGACCAAAATGGAGAATCAGCCTCGGCGTAAATGCAGCATTCCTGACCCTTTCAAAGGCAGCCCAAAGGTTCTGGGAAAGGTGTGCCATTGATTTTTGTATGTATTCGTGTTTGCATCAGGTGATCCAGTCACAAGTCAGCAGGGTGAAAGGAGTCTTGGAAATGCATTGCATCCCGATCAGTACTTGAAGAAAAGTTTCATGCTTATTGAAAGGCCAACACTGGCCTGTTAACATGTGTTATGCATATGATGGAGTGCTATCAGAGTGACCTATAGAGGAGGTTCAGTGTTTAATGACACATTTATTCAGAGAGATTAAACTAGCTGTTGTGAATGGAAAGCCATTTCTGCCTCCTAAGTACAAATATCATGCTTTGGAAAAGCAGAATTATGACATAAAAAGTCAAAATAATGACATACGTCATTACGACAAAAAGTGGAATATTAAGTCACAATTATGTCATAAAATATTGATATTATGACATACGTTGAAATTGACATAAAATGTCATTATTATGACAAAAAGTCGAAATAATGACATACTAAGTCATTATGACATAAGTCAATAATTATGGCATACTAAAAGTTGAAATTGACATAAAATGTGATAATTATGACATAAAAAGTCAAAGTTATGACATAAGTAAAAACTGACAAAATGTCATAATTATAACTAACTCATAATTATGACAAGAAGTTTAAATTGACATAAAAGATCGAAATTATGACAAGTCATTATGACATAAGTCAAAGTCATGACAAAGTTGGAATTTACATAAAAGTCATAATTATCAAAAGTCATTGACAAAAACTCAGTTTTATTTATGACATAAGTAAAAAATTATGACATAAATCCTTATGACAAAAGTCAAAACTGATATATAATGTCAATTATGACATTAATCATAATGTCATAATTGACCAAGCTGAAATAATGACAAAAGTAGAAACTATGAAGTAAAACAGCAAAACAAAAAGTAAAATCTAGTATAAAGTAAATTATATCATAATTTTGAATTTTTGATTTACCAAATCATATTTTTTTCCCGAAATGTGGAGGAAATGGTCTCCTATACGTGGGTGACGATGAAGCATGGTTTTCAAGCACTTTATTCCGTTGCTCCAAGCTCTTTATTTAAAGGCATACAATCTTGAACCCAATGCAGTTTAAGAGTCACTGAACAAGGAATAAAACAACAAAATTATTTGAATATCTTAAATGCATATGACATTTGTTACCCATGTAAAACTTGTAATGAATGTTGTGTTATTAAAAATGGCATGCATCTATCTTGCAGAACATCACATTCATGATGCATAATCCTGTTGGATTTATTAACCAAATAATGAAATCTAAAAATACGGTAATCTATGAAAGTTGCATGGAGCGAATTAAGCATATAACACAAATATAGAGTTTTGTGCTTAAGGTTTATAGGCAAACTGGGAATGAAGGGGACGTTTATCCAGAAAGGTTGAGAAGCGCTGTGAGAATCAGAGGACTCTTTCGAAGATATTAGTTGATGTTGATGATTTTGTGTGTGATGATTTGCAGGTGGGTCATCTGGCACAGGTGGAGGATGATGATGCAGCGAAGGTGATCTCTTGGCATATTCTGGGTGACATGGACTGTGTGGTTACTGAAACTACATCTGCTGCCAAGAGAATCTATGATGATACGCAAGGACGACAACAAGTCATTCCCCTCGAGACGGTCTTCTGGAGACCAAATGACAGGTACTCATGCATGCTGTCGCACATAGCCTTTATTAATATTTTGAATTCGTTTTTATTTTTTCATATTTTTATTTTAATAAAGGTATTAGTAATTTTTATTTTTTAATGTCTATAAAAAATGTTGTTTTAGTTATTTTAGTACATCAGGTTACACAAAAACACAATCTATTGTATCAGGTTGTTATGTTAAAGCACTAAATATAACGTAGAAGAGAAGAAAATAGTGAAATTACAAGAGAAGATCTACCCAAGTTTCCGGCATGCGTCACCAGAGAGATGTCTGTCACGTCACCGGAAGTTATGATGTTTTAATTAAAAAAAATGATGAGGTCAAAAAACAGAAACATTTGCTTGGATAAATTCACTCACAATACGATCTGTAACATGCATGAAAATAAATAGGGTGAATTTTCATTTCCTGCCAAAATTATGTAACTGCACGTTTGCTGAATGCCTATGATATATGTGATATTTGTGTCTTAAGTCGCTGGGGTATATTTCTAGCAATAGCCAAAAATACATTGTATGGGTCAAAATTATTGATTTTTCTTTTATGCCAAAAATCGTTAGGATATTAAGTAAAGATCATGTTCCATGAAGACATTTTGTAAATTTCCTACTGTAAATATATCAAAACTTAATTTTTGATTAGTAATATGCATTGAAATAGCTGACTTCTGCTCTCAGAATGAATTGTTTTGCACGTTTGTTCAGTTTCATATGTAGTGACACTTTTTACAGTTACTTTTTTTTCTGAGAGTAGCCTTAAAGGGATAGTTCATCCGAAAATTTAAATCCTGTCATCATTTACTCACCTAAGCCTGTATGAATTTCTTTCTTCTGTTGAGCACAAAAGAAGTCATTGTGAAGAACGCTGGCAAGCAAATAGTTGCTGGTAGCCATTGACTTTTGTAGTAGGGGGATAAAATACTTGGAAGTCAATGGCTACCAGCAACTGTCTGGTTGCCAGCGTTCTTCACAATATCATCTGGTGTGTTGTGTCATGCTGTCATGTTTTCCTAGCTGCACGTGTCAGAGTTAGACGTGATCACACTGAAGGAATTAACCCTTTAACTGAGTATGTTTATTTTGTCGCAGCTGTATGCTTTTTTCTATGCATGTTTTTTCATGTGTCTTAGGCCTCTGCCTCACATCAGGAATGGCATGCTTCTCTTCCAACCCATTGGTAATCCTGTGTTTGTCAAAGATATACTCATTTTTCCTGAGCACGTAGAAAGCTGCAATAAAGGTAAGCCAAGAGCACAAAATCTCCCAGAAAGTATTTGTGTATTTAATATCTCTGTTGTGCTTCGGTTGTCAGTTGACACCCAGAATGATTTCTCATTCACGAGTTATTATTAGTTGTTATAGCCTATTTAACTCAATATATTATTCTTTTCTTTTTAAATTATGAAAATGGTTTAATTTACTAACTAATGTAACAATTTAAAACTCAATTCTGTTATTTATAATACAGGGATTCCGCGGTTCCTTAAAAAGTCTTAAATTTAGTTGTATCAAATTTAAGGCCATACAAAGTCTAAATTGTAAAAGAAATGATTTCAGGTGGTCTTAAATTTGGGAACGGTAAGACAAGAATTGAGATACGGCTTAATGTGACGATTAAACTTCAAAAGGCTATGATTTGATTAAATAAACACGAGCGCTGCATGTTTCAGAGTCCAGTGCTGCGCTGCTTTGTTTACTGCTGTTACCAGGAATCAGTTATATTTCTGCCGTTCCGAAAGCGCCTCCTGCTAAACAAGAAAAAAACACTAAGTACATCATTTTTTTGCAGTGTGATTGTTTAAATTAATATAATTGAAACTTTTGACTCATCCCTTTTCTTAAATATGGTTTAATGGCTGAAATGTGAAGTTTACCATTTTATAAAACTTTTTGTTTTTGTGAAAACCTGTAAATCATGATTTTTACAGTCATTTTACAGTTTAGTATGTTACCATAGACATTGCTCTACCCTGCTCATATGGTATTACTTTTATTTGTGCAGGGTGTTAAAAAGGTCTTAAAAAGTCTTAAATTATTTCTGCCGTTCCGAAAGCGCCTCCTGCTGGCAGAGAATGAATTTGCATTTTTCAATAAGTCTGTCTGCTGTTTCTGTTCAGACCAGTGCGAAAATCGACCCATTTTACGCCGCAAACACATGCCAATGTATTATAAAAATCTAAACAATTAAGACACTTAAGATCTTTTTATATGTTGTTTAATTAATATAATAATTGATTGATAATACACTGCAAAAATGCTTTTCTTACTTAGAATTTTTAACAAAATTTTGTTAGTTTTTGCTTAAAACAAGGAAAAATATCTGCCAATGGGGCAAGAAAAATTATCTTGTTTTGCCTATGAATTAAGATTATTTTTATTATCCCATTGGCAGATATTTTTTCTTGTTTTAAGCAAAAACTAACATTTTCTTAAATATGGTTTAATGGCTGAAATGTGAAGTTTACCATTTTATAAAACTTTTTGTTTTTGTGAAAACCTGTATCTGAACTGTAAATCATGATTTTTACAGTCATTTTACAGTTTAGTATGTTACCATAGACATTGCTCTACTCCGCTCATATGGTATTAATTTTATTTGTGCAGGTGTTAAAAGGGTCTTAAAGTCTTACATTTGATTTAAAAAATCCTGCAGGTACCCTGTAATAAATTCTTTGGCGTTTACAGCTGTCATATCCCGCCATACGCAATTGATGCCCCTGCTGCACTTCCAAAACTATTCCATCCATTTTATTTATCAAACATTTATCATTCCCATTTGACGGAAAATACTCAGAGCATGAATTACCTGTTTGAATGAGTATTTGGAGTTTGAGAGCAACACTTACGGAGTAGCTTCACATGCATTGTGAAATAAACTGTTGCATGCCGTCACCTTTATTTATATAGCACTTTATACAATACAGAAGGCTATGATTTGATTAAATAAACACGAGCGCTGCATGTTTCAGAGTCCAGTGCTGCGCTGCTTTGTTTACTGCTGTTACCAGGAATCAGTTATATTTCTGCCGTTCCGAAAGCGCCTCCTGCTGGCAGAGAATGAATTTGCATTTTTCAATAAGTCTGTCTGCTGTTTCTGTTCAGACCAGTGCGAAAATCGACCCATTTTACGCCGCAAACACATGCCAATGTATTATAAAAATCTAAACAATTAAGACACTTAAGATCTTTTTATATGTTGTTTAATTAATATAATAATTGATTGATAATACACTGCAAAAATGCTTTTCTTACTTAGAATTTTTAACAAAATTTTGTTAGTTTTTGCTTAAAACAAGGAAAAATATCTGCCAATGGGGCAAGAAAAATTATCTTGTTTTGCCTATGAATTAAGATTATTTTTATTATCCCATTGGCAGATATTTTTTCTTGTTTTAAGCAAAAACTAACAAAAATTCGATTTTTTTTCTTCAGAAAACGAGACTTATTATTATGTCATTTTGCTTCTTAAGTAAATGCATCCTGATTCAATTGTGAAATAAACTGTTGCATGCCGTCACCTTTATTTATATAGCACTTTATACAATACAGATTGTGTCAAAGCAGCTTTACAGTGTTAGACAGGAAAATAGTGTATCAATAATGCAAACCAAATTCAATTCTGCTGTAAAGCAGCTCTAAAAAGAGGACAATAGTAAACTGTAAACAGCATGTAAAACGATAACTAGAGCAGATGCATTACTTGCTGATGAGTCTCGATCTTATTATATTATTAATGTAGATGTGTATTAAGTGCATTAACTATTGGAATATAATTACAGTATTTGTTGATTAAGCTTTAGCATCTGTGCAAAAGTATTTAGACTACTGTTTTTCATACAATAGAAACCATATAGTTACATTTTTACCTTGGTATTGAGGCGCTATATGTGTGGTTTTAACTGTTGTTATCATGATCTAAATGTAGGCTACTATGAAAAACCAATGGTTAATGTTAATAAAACTCAAACAGTCAGAATAATTCAGTTTCACCATATAAAAATGAGGTTGTTACAAATTTTACAGATGTTACTGTTTTTGATCATTCAAAAAATTTAAAATTATTAATATTGCAGCCTGCACTGCAAACTGTGCTGAAGATAGGAGTCATTGAATTCAGGCAACACAAACCTGTTTCATGTTTTGAAACAATATCACTCATTAGAACATGCAGAAACTAAGAAATTCATTTTTGTATTAAGATATTTATTTTGTTAAGGAAAAATGACTGGAAAAGTGTAAAGAATTCAAAAATGTGAAGTGTTTGTCATGTTCTGACCATAAAGAACAGTTTAAAACCACAATCAACCGTCTGGTTTCTACAACTTGCTCTTAGGAGCAAAGATCTGCCTTTAAATTCGAAAGAAATAAAGATTTGAAATTTATCGTGATAATTATCGATATCGACTGATATGAAAAATTTTATCATGATGATTTTTTGAGCATATCGCCCAGCCCTATCCACAAGTAATCCACATGTCGCCAGTCCATCAATTAACATCTTGTGAAATGAAAAGCTGCATGTTTGTAAGAAACAAATCCATCATGAAGAGGCTTTACACTTCAGACCATTGCTTCCGACGTCATGGAATGATGTAATATAATGATGGAATGGAAGTATCCTGGCAGAGGCGACATTGGCAGTATTCAAATGTGTGTGTGTGTGTGTGTGTGTGTGTGTGTGTGCGCGTGCGTGTTTGTGTGCGTGTCTGTGTTTGTGTGCATATGTGTCTGTGTGCGTGTGCGTGTGTGTGTGTCTGTGTCTGTGTGTGTGTTTTTTGGATTAAAAAATCATCTTGCATGAATCATGCATGAAACATTTTGCAGCCTGCGGATGTTGGCAGTGCATTATTTTATGAGTATGATCAGGGCAAACATTCAAACTACAAGGGGGACTGACGTGTTCTGACTCTTTTTCAGTTTTTGCAAGTCTTCTTGGAGACACCATACTAATTGATGACTTGGATTCTGCTAATCATTATCGTCGGGGGGTAAGACACTGAGTGTATGTGTTTGTGATGAAGAATTTTCAAGTATTTACAGCAAACATGCATATAAACGTGTATGTTTGGTAGGTGGTTCAGAATAAGATGCAGTGCCCCACGCTCTTAACGCGTCAGGGCGAGCGGATACGCAGCAACGGGAAGTTCGGAGGACTGCAGAACAAGGCTCCATCCATTGAGAAACTTCGAGGACAAGTGTTTGGAGCGCCATTACCCAAAGAGTACAACCGCACACAGCATCAGATGGGTAACAAACATACTGCATCTCTTGGTGCAATGGAAGGTTTTTACTCTATGAATGATCTGAGATACTTTATGTAACTAGTAACTAATCTCTCTCCTTTTAAGATTAACAGTTTAGATTAACAATTTAAAAATGTCAATAAATATATATATATATATATA